CACCCCCACCCCCCCGACTTAAATAATGAGTGGTCCCTTAGATTTAGAAAGGGAAAGGTGCGTTGTAAAATTAGGTATGCCATGTTTTCTTTATTTTCTTCTTAATAGTGCCCCAAAGGACTGGAATGGATTGCATGTCGAACTAAGATCTCATCATACGAACCGATAAGGTATTTAGGAAAAGACTTTGATCATTCCAGCTAAGTTTTAAATTAAGTTTCGCTGATTTATAGAGAGAGAGCAAACGCTGGATGCATGTAATGGGGTCGGAGTCGGCAGTCTTTGGCCCTATTTCATGTGTTTGGGCTATATACACAGGGGCGGATCCATGGGAGGGGTGCAGGGGGTGCGCACCCCTCCCTGGTTGCACCTTGTGCCCCTACTTCAAAGATAACCAATACTGTTTCTTACCTTCGATTCTAAGGGGTGCACCCCTCCCTGGGTTAACTTTGTGCGCAGCACCCCAGCTCGCTGAACAAAATCCTGGATATCCGCCCCTGATATACATGTAGTTCAATTTTTATTATTCTTTTCTTGGTATACATTTATTATATTTTTTATTACTTTATTTAAATTTTAGCGTACAATTTAATTAGCCTGGTCTGTTATATTTTAATATTTCTATATTTTAATCATTTATATATGTATTAGTTACTCTTTAAGCGACGGGCAAGTTGGTTGGTATCACAAATTAAAAATCATTCATTGACAATTATTTTGTTAAATCCAACTAAGATGGCGGCTGTGACGTCGTGTGCAAACGAAGAATAAACGCAACATACTTTTTCAGGCTCAAAATAAAAAAGGGTGTTAGGTAGTAACCTACCATATAAAGGGGTTTTTTTGCCCTAAATTCCACACTTTTTTAAACTACTGTCAGTTATGGGCTGTGCTGTTGAATGAACCTATTTTGCAGGGACGGGACTGACTTGAAAAAAAATCTAGCTTGGGCACCCTATGTCTACAAGTACTGATCAGCAAGTCCTCCGGCATCGCATTCAACAAGAGCGTTATATAGCTCTCCGACAGTAAAATCACGACTGACGCATACTGTGTTAAGTATTGCCTCTGCTGGATCATCTTTCCTATCGTAGTAACCAAAATTATTGCTTGAGATCCCCAATTCGTTTGCTAACAGCTTCCACTTTTCTTGTCCTGTTCGGAACAAAGCAAAATAGTGTGAATGGCAGTTTCTTTTTTTTTTTTTTAGCTCGTATAAAATGCAACAAGTCGTTCAACATGCAGCAATACTACCCAAAGTTATGCTCAGCAACTCGTCTAATTTGCTGCATGTCCCCTTAATAGGCCACCGTATGTGTTTATCAGTGGCAAGTGAAAAATATCGAAATATTACCACATAAGGAACGCGTCAGTTCTTGTCTCACACGGCGATTCATGGTGCTTACTAATCCATAATTACTGTATGCAAGAGGACCTAAAAATATAGATATATATTAATATAAGGCATTAGCAGATGGATGGAAGGAGGGATGGAGGGAGGGATGGAGGGAGGGATGGAGGGAGGGATGGAGGGAGGGATGGA